GCGACTCCGGTTGCTCGTGACTCCGGTCGCTCGTGACTCCGGTTGCTCGTGACTCCGGTCGCTCGTGACTCCAGTTGCTCGTGACTCCGGTGGCTCGTGACTCCGGTGGCTCGTGACTCCGGTTGCTCGTGACTCCGGTTGCTAGCGACTCCGGTCGCTCGTGACTCCGGTGTCGGTGGCTCCAGTCGCTCGTGACTCCGGTTGCTAGCGACTCCGGTTGCAAGTAACTTGGGTTGCTCGCGACTCCGGTGGCTCGTGACTCCGGTGGCGGTGACTCCGGTGGCTCGTGACTCCGGTGGCTCGTGACTCCGGTCGCTCGCGACTCCGGTCGCTCGTGACTCCGGTTGCTCATGACTCCGGTTGCTCGTGACTCCGGTGGCTCGTGACTCCGATTGCTCGTGACTCCGGTGGCGGTGACTCCGGTCGCTCGTGACTCCGGTCGCTCGCAACTCCGATTGCTCGTGACTCCGGTTGCTCGTGACTCGGGTCACTCGCGACTCCGGTCACTCGCGACTCCGGTCACTCGCGACTCCGGTCACTCGCGACTCCGGTTGCTCGTGACTCCGGTTGCTCGTGACTCCGGTTGCTCGTGGCTCCGGTTGCTCGTGACTAAGGTGGCTCGCGACTCCGGTGGCTCGTGACTCCGGTGGCTCGTGACTCCGGTTGCTCGTGACTCCGGTTGCTCGTGACTCCGGTTGCTCGTGGCTCCGGTTGCTCGTGACTAAGGTGGCGGTGGCTCCGTGCCAAGGGGTTGAAGGGGTAAGGGCCTGGTCACCCCCCCCACCCACCCCCCCGTAGCAAATCCAAATCCGGAGCTGACCACAAAAGGTAAAGAATTTTATTGTGACCTGTGCCTGGCTAGGAACCCACACCCCCCACTACCCCCCACTACCCCCCACTACCCCCCACACCCCCCACACCCCCCACTACCCCCCACTACCCCCCCCAACAGCCATGCGTGGTGTGTGTGTGGTGGTGTGTGGTGTGTGTGGTGCTGTGTGTACTGTGTGTGTGTACTGTGTGTATGGTGTATGTGTGGTGTGTGTGGTGTGTGTGGTGTGTGTGGTGTGTGTGTGGTGTGTGTGTGGTGTGTGTGTGGTGTGTGTGTGGTGTGTGTGTGTGTGGTGTGTGTGGTGTGTGTGTGTATGTGTGGTGTGTGTGGTGTGTGTGGTGTGTGTGTGGTGTGTGTGGTGTGTGTGTGGTGTGTGGTGTGTGTGGTGTGTGTGTGGTGTGTGTGTGGGGTGTGTGGTGTGTGTGGCGTGTGTGCGTAGCAGGGTATTTTGTACCATCGGACACTCCACCCCCACAACTCCCAATCGGTGATGGGGCAGTTCTGGAGAGAGTGGAGAGTTTCCCATACCTGGGCAGTGTGCTCATGGCCGGCTCCAGTTTAACAGCAGAGGTCTCACTCCGAATCAGTCGAGCGGCAATATCTTTTCATCGGTTATGTAACGCTGTGTGGAAGCTACCTGGTCTGTCGCTCCGCACTAAGCTTCAGGTCTTCTCGGCCACGGTCATTCCCTCCCTTCTCTACGCTTGCGAAACGTGGACCCGGCAGGCAAGGCTGCGTTGGCTGGGTCATGTAGCCCGCATGCCCAGCCACCGCATGCCAAACAGCTTTTGTTCGGCCGGATCGAGGGGGCAAAACGGGCGCGGCACGGGCTAGAGAAGAGATGGAGTGATGTGGTACAGGAGGACGTGGAGTTGAGTGGACTTGCCGATGACTGGTACCAGCGGTGTCAAGATCGGCCTCTGTGGAGGAGGCTCGTGAAGGATGCTACTGGGCAGTTGGAGGCAGTCGCCCTCCAACAACAACGGAGGGCGGAGGAGCGACGCTCACAACAACGAGCGGAGCGCCGGGTGGCTAAAGCACAGCAGGTTGGCACAGTAGGGGGCACAGGTGGTGCATCAGCCAGTCATCTCAGTCAGTCGACCCGTGGCACCTGGGTCTGCCCCGTGACCTCCTGCGAGCGGGCGTTCGACACTTCACGTGGCCTCAACGTGCACCTAGTCTGGCACAAGCGTCGTGGTGACGTCACCGCCACTTAGTGGCGAATGGCGGTTGTTGTTACAGCGTGGTGTGTGGGGTGTGTGCGTGGTGGGGTGTGTGTTTGTCAGTGTGTGTGTGAGTCTGTGTGTGTGTGGGGAGCGGTGGGTGTAGTGGTTAGCGCTACGCTGCGCTACGAACCCGAGTTCAATTCCCGCTCACAGCCACCACCGCCAGTGACGATTATCTAAACCGATCATGGGCCTCCCCTAGGTCGACTCAGCCTCAAATGAGTACCTGGTGCTGTGTGTAGTGAACTTAGCTAGCTCTGGGGGAGACAAAGGCGGCCGGGCGTGGTGCTGGCCACCCACCCCCTCGTGTGCCACAGTGCCGGTAGCCTTCATAGGTGCTGCACGCTAACAGCACTTGCCCCTACAGCCCTGCTAGAGGCTACACGGGAGATCTTTGTCTGTGTATAGGCGCTGCTGCTGCTACTCGCTACTAACAGCACTTGCCCCTACAGCCCTGCTAGAGGCTACACGGGGGATCTTTGTCTGTGTATAGGTGCTGCTGTATAGTAGTGTAGTGTATAGTAGTGTAGTGTGTAGTGTATAGTAGTGTATAGTGTAGTATATAGTAGCGTAGTGTATAGTGTAGTGTATAGTGTATATAGTAGTGTAGTGTATAGTGTAGTGTATAGTGTAGTGTATAGTGTAGTATATAGTAGTGTAGTGTATAGTGTAGTGTATAGTGCTGTAGTGTATAGTGTAGTGTATAGTACTGTAGTGTAGTGTATAGTGTAGTATGTAGTAGTGTAGTGTATAGTAGTGTAGTGTAGAGTGTAGTGTATAGTAGTGTAGTGTATAGTAGTGTAGTGTATAGTGTAGTGTACAGTAGTGTATAGTAGTGTAGTGTATAGTAGTGTAGTGTATAGTGTAGTGTATAGTAGTGTTGTGTATAGTGTAGTGTATAGTAGTGTATAGTGTTGTGTGGTGTAGTGTATTGTAGTGTGTAGTAGTGTATAGTGTAGTGTACAGTGTAGTGTATAGTGTAGTGTATAGTGTAATGTGTACTGTAGTGTATAGTGTAGTGTATAGTAGTGTAGTGTGGTGTATAGTGTAGTATATAGTAGTGTATAGTAGTGTAGTGTATAGTGTAGTGTATAGTGTTGTGTATGGTGCGGTGTATAGTGTAGTGTGTAGTGTAGTGTAGTAGTGTATAGCGTAGTAGTGTACAGTGTATTGTATCGTGTAGTTTATAGTGTAGTGTATAGTGTTGTGTATAGTGTTGTGTATGATGCGGTGTATAGTGTAGTGTGTAGTAGTGTATAGTGTAGTAGTGTATAGTGTATTGTATCGTGTAGTTTATAGTGTAGTGTATAGTGTTGTGTATGGACTGGTACCGCCTGGAGCTCAGTAGAATACCGATAGCGCTTGCCATTCGGAGGCACAATCATCTGAAACATCACATCCCGCGTTTATATTATTTGTCACAGTTTTGGCTGGCCGAAACGCGGAATGTCCAACCGGTAACCGGCAAGAAAGGCTGCCATTCCCTCTGTCCGGAGCCAGACCGGTACCGCCTGGAGCTCAGTGGAATACCGATAGCGCTTGCCATTCGGAGGCACAATCATCTGAAACATCACATCCCGCGTTTAGATTATTTGTCACAGTTTTGGCTGGCCGACACGCGGAATGTCCAACCAGTAACCGGCAAGAAAGGCTGCCATTCCCTCTGTCCGGAGCCAGACCGGTACCGCCTGGAGCTCAGTAGAATAAAGATAGGGCTTGCCATTCGGAGGCACAATCATCTGAAACACGTCACATCCCGCGTTTAAATTATTTGTCACAGTTTTGGCTGGCCGACACGCGGAATGTCCAACCGGTAACCGGCAAGAAAGGCTGCCATTCCCTCTGTCCGGAGCCAGACCGGTACCACCTGGAGCTCAGTAGAATAAAGATAGGGCTTGCCATTTGGAGGCACAATCATCTGAAACATCACATTCCGTGTTTAGATTATTTGTCACAGTTTTTGGCTGGCCGACACGCGGAATGTCCAACCGGTAACCGTAAAAAAAGGCTGCCATTACCTCTGTCCGGAGCCAGACCGGTACCACCTGGAGCTCAGTGGAATAAAGATAGGGCTTGCCATTCGGAGGCACAATCATCTGAAACACGTCACATCCCGCATTTAGATTATTTGTCACAGTTTTGGCTGGCCGACACGCGGAATGTCCAACCGGTAACCGGCAAGAAAGGCTGCCATTCCCTCTGTCTGGAGCCAGACCGGTACCGCCTGGAGCTCAGTGGAATACAGATAGGGCTTGCCATTCGGAGGCACAAGCATCTGAAACACGTCACATCCCGCGTTTAGATTATTTGTCACAGTTTTGGCTGGCCGACACGCGGAATGTCCAACCGGTAACCGGGAAGAAAGGCTGCCATTCCCTCTGTCCGGAGCCAGACCGGTACCACCTGGAGCTCAGTGGAATACAGATAGGGCTTGCCATTCGGAGGCACAATCATCTGAAACACGTCACATCCCGCGTTTAGATTATTTGTCACAGTTTTGGCTGGCCGACACGCGGAATGTCCAACCGGTAACCGGCAAGAAAGGCTGCCATTCCCTCTGTCCGGAGCCAGACCGGTACCGCCTGGAGCTCAGTGGAATACAGATAGGGCTTGCCATTCGGAGGCACAATCATCTGAAACACGTCACATCCCGCGTTTAGATTATTTGTCACAGTTTTGGCTGGCCGACACGCGGAATGTCCAACCGGCAATCCGGCAAGAAAGGCTGCCATTCCCTCTGTCCGGAGCCAGACCGCTACCGCCTGCGGCTCAGTGGAATAATGTTGGGAGTGAGCCCACCACTCGGGTACAAGGGCCTGGGCTGGACGTGGGGCATTCGGAAGGAGGAGAGGTTGCCTTCCCTTCGGTCCGGAGCCAGAGAAGTACCGCCTGGAGCCGACATGTGGAAAGTCTGACCACGTCCGCCTTTGTCTTTCCCGCAGGTTGAAACACACTGACAGCCCACCACCCAACGCCACGATGACTGAGTGAGTAACGAGCAGGCGTGACCGCCTAGATTCTACTCAGCCAGAAATGGACACGCAGATAATCCACTCGTAGCATATAACGACGATGATGATGGTGGTGGTGGCTATGATGATGATGGCTATAATGATGATTGATGATTATGGCTATGATGATGATGGCTATGATGATGATGACTTTGATGATGATGATGATGGTGGTGGCTATGATGATGATGGCTATAATGATGATTGATGATTATGGCTATGATGATGATGGCTATGATGATGATGACTTTGATGATGATGATGATGATGGTGGTGGCTATGATGATGATGGCTATAATGATTATTGATGATTATGGCTATGATGATGATGGCTATGATGATGATGACTTTGATGATGATGACTATGATGATGGCTATGATGATGATGACTATGATGATGATGATGATGGCTATGATGATGATGATGGTGATGATGTTAGCTATGATGATCGCTATGATGATGATGATTATTTTATAATGATGTCTATAATGATGGCTATGATTATGATGACTATGATGATGATAATGACAATGATGATGACTATAATGATGACGGTGATGATGAGAATGGCTATAATGATGATGTTGATGATGATGCTTCAGTTACTTAAACTATTACAATGCTGAAGAAAATATATTAACCTCTGTGTCTGCGTGTCTGAATGTATATGTCTGTACGTGTGTGTCTGTGTCCGTGTGTCTGTGTCTGCCTGTGTGTCTGCCTGTGTGTGTGTCTGTGTGGATCTGTACGTGTGCGTCTGTGTCCGTGTGTCTGTGTGTCTGTCTGTGTGTCTCCGTGTCTGTGTGGATCTGTACGTGTGTGTCTGTGTCCGTGTGTCTGTGTGTCTGTCTGTGTGATCCACAGACCAGCAGTGAGTATATAGTTTTACAAAAACTCACACACAGCCACACACAGCCACAAACAGACACACACACACAGACTCACACACAGCCACACACACACAGAGACTCACACACACACAGACACACACACACAGACACACAGACACACACAGACACACACACGCTTATTGTACTGGTGCGATATTGATGCTGCTGATGCTGATTATACAGCTGCTGCAGATGATGCTGCTAATGATGATACTGCTGATGATGCCACTGCTGATGATACTGCAGCTGATGATGCTGCTGAATATGATACTGCTGCTGATAATGCTGCTGCTGATGATGCTGCTGCTGCTGATGATGATACTGCTGCTGCTGATGATGATGCTGCTGATGATGATAATGCTGCTGATGATGCTGCTGCTGATGATACTGCTGTTGATGATGCTGATGATGATACTGCTGCTGCTGATGATGATACTGCTGCTGCTGATGATGCTGCTGCTGATGATACTGCTGCTGATGATACTGCTGCTGATGATGCTGCTGCTGATGATGATGATACTGCTGCTGCTGATGATACTGCTGCTTCTGATGATGATACTGCTGATGATGATACTGCTGCTGCTGATGATGCTGATGATGATACTGCTGCTGCTGATGATGCTGCTGATGATACTGCTGCTGCTGATGATGCTGATGATGATGCTGCTGCTGATGATAATGCTGATGATGATGCTGCTGCTGCTGATGATGCTGCTGCTGATGATACTGCTGCTGCTGATGATGATGATGCTGCTGATATAGCTGCTGCTGCTGCTGATGATGATGCTGATGATGATTTTTCTCCACAGCCCAAGGGCAAGATCTCTGCCTCCAGAAAACTAATGCTGAAGGTGCGAACATCACCAACATCATTATCATCATCAAAATCATCATCACCATCATCACCATCATCATCATCAACATCATCACCATCATCAGCATCATCATCAGCAGGATCATCATCATCAACATCATCATCAGCATCATCATCACCATCATCAGCAGCATCATCATCACCATCATCAGCAGCATCATCAGCATCATCATCAAAATCATCTTCATCATCATCACCATCATCACCATCATCATCAACATCATCATCACCAACATCATCTTCATCATCATCACCATCATCATCACCATCATCATCAACATCATCATCACCAACATCATCTTCATCATCATCACCATCATCATCAACATCATCATCAGCAACATCATCTTCATCATCATCAGCATCATCATCATCAACATCATCATCAACATCATCATCATCATCAACATCATCATCAGCATCATCATCAGGATCATCATCATCAGGATCATCATCATCAGCAGGATCATCATCAACATTATAATCATCAGCATCATCATCAGCAGGATCATCATCAACGTCATCATCATCATCACCATCAGCATCATCATCATCAACATCATCATCATCATCAGCATCATCATCAACATCATCATCAGGATCATCATCATCAGCATCATCAGCTGCAGGATCATCATCACCATCATCATCACCATCATCATCAGCATCATCATCATCACCATCATCATCACCATGAGCATCATCATCATCAACATCATCAGCATCATCATCAACATCATGATCATCAGGATCATCATCAGCATCATCAGCAGCAGCAGGATCATCATCACCATCATCATCACCATCATCATCAGCAGCATCATCATCACCATCATCATCAGCATCATTAACATCATCATCAGCATCATAATCACCATCAGCAGCATCATCATCATCACCATCACAATCATCAACATAATCATCGGCATCATCATCACCATCATCAGCAGCATCATCATAATCATCATCATCAACATCATCATCATCAGCATCATCACCATCATCAGCAGCATCATCATCATCACCATCATCAGCAGCATCATCATCATCACCATCATCATCAACATCAGCATCATCATCAGCATCATCATCACCATCATCACCATCAGCATCACCATCATCCTCATCATCAACATCATCATCACCAGCAGCATCATCATCACCATCATCATCAGCAGCATCATCATCAACAGCATCATCATCATCAGCAGCAGCATCATCACCATCATCATCAGCAGCAGCAGCATCACTATCATCATCACCAGCATCAGTAGCAGCAGCATCATCATCATCATCAGCAGCAGCATCATCATCAGCATCATCATCACCACCATCATCATGACCACCACCATCACCACCATTATCATCATCAGCAGCAGCATCACCATCATCAGCAGCATCATCATCCGCATCGTCATCATCATCATTACCATCATCATCAGCATCATCATCAGCATCATCATCATCACCATCATCAGCAGCATCATCAACATCATCATCAGCATCATAATCACAATCCTCAGCAGCATCATCATCATCACCATCATCACAATCATCAACATTATCATCAGCATCATCATCACCATCATCAACAGCATCATCATCACCATCATCAACATAATCATCAGCATCATCACCATCAGCAGCATCATCATCATCACCATCATCAGCAGCATCATCATCATCACCATCATCAACATCACCATCATCATCAGCATCATCATCACCATCATCATCACCATCATCCTCATCATCAACATCATCATCAGCAGCAGCATCATCAACACCATCATCAGCATCATCACCATCATCATCAGCAGCAGCAGCATCACCATCATCATCACCATCATCCGCAGCAGCATCATCATCATCAGCAGCAGCAGCATCATCATCATAATCATCGTCATCATCAGCATCATCATCAGCATCATCATCATCACCACCATCATCATCACCACCATCATCATCATGAGCAGCAGCATCACCATCATCAGCAGGATCATCAGCAGCAGCATCATCATCAGCATCGTCATCATCATCATCATCATTACCATCATCATCAGCAGCATCATCAGCATCATCATCATCATCATTACCATCATCAGCAGCATCATCAGCATCAGCAGCATCATCATCAGCAGCAGCATCATCATCAGCAGCATCATCAGCATCATCATCAGCAGCATCATCATCAGCAGCAGCATCATCAGCAGCAGGAGCAGCAGCATCATCATCATCCGCAGCATCATCAGCAGCAGCATCATCCTCATCATCAGCGTCATCATCAGCAGCAGCATCATCATCAGCAGCAGCAGCATCATCATCATCAGCAGCAGCAGCATCATCATCAGCAGCAGCAGCAGCATCATCATCATCATCAGCAGCAGCAGCAGAAGCATCATCATCATCAGCAGCAGCAGCATCAGCATCATCAGCAGCAGCATCATCATCATCAGCATCATCATCATCACCACCATCATCATGACCACCACCATCACCACCATTATCATCATCAGCAGCAGCATCACCATCATCAGCAGCATCATCATCAGCATCGTCATCATCATCATTACCATCATCATCAGCATCATCATCAGCATCATCATCATCACCATCATCATCAGCAGCATCATCAACATCATCATCAGCATCATAATCACAATCCTCAGCAGCATCATCATCATCACCATCATCACAATCATCAACATTATCATCAGCATCATCATCACCATCATCAACAGCATCATCATCACCATCATCAACATAATCATCAGCATCATCACCATCAGCAGCAGCATCATCATCATCACCATCATCAACATCAGCATCATCATCAGCATCATCATCACCATCATCATCATCAGCATCACCATCATCCTCATCATCAACATCATCAGCAGCAGCAGCATCATCAACACCATCATCAGCATCATCACCATCATCATCAGCAGCAGCAGCATCACCATCATCATCACCATCATCCGCAGCAGCATCATCATCAGCAGCAGCAGCAGCAGCATCATCATCATAATCATCATCATCAGCATCATCATCAGCATCATCATCATCACCACCATCATCATCACCACCATCATCATCATGAGCAGCAGCATCACCATCATCAGCAGGATCATCAGCAGCAGCATCATCATCAGCATCGTCATCA